AGCTCCGGGACTGCTGCTTGTACCTGCACTCGTTTCGTTTCCGGATGAGGGCGTAGTTGTCTCACCGGCTTCCGGTGATATCTGAAACATCCATCTAAGGAACAATGAATTTCTTCTATTCTTACGAAGCATTTTCGAGAAAAAAGTGCATTAAGCTGCACCTCAAAGTACTTTTACAGAAATCTCAGAAATTTCAGGGCTGGGAAGATTATCACTGTCCCGATTTTTTGTCATTATTGCGATCACAGAACTAGCTCTCTTGTTCCACTTCAAGTAAATGGAACTTAGTACATCATTGATACAATCTTCATACAGGCTTTTTCGTGGAGTGTGGCGGTCTCCTGACTGCTTTCGACCTCACGGGATTTTTGCAGCAGGGATTACCAGCACGCTGACTAATAAATGAACTTAGGCTGCAGCTATTAAAAAAGAGGACAATGATCAGACAGGCTATTTGTGGCTGTCAAGCAAAGAAAAAATAAAAAAATGGTAGGCTACAAATTTGAGTTCAGTAGAAGTATTTGTCAAAATAGAGGGCCCCAATTTTACCGTCCAAAATGGGCCAACCGTTTAACAGAGGATCTAAGCCAAGTCAACTGAACAATGTCGCGAATCCGCTGGTCAGTAGTGAATTCACATGAAGCACATATTGTCCACATCGAATCCACAGCTGGATCTTGGAGAACCCCGTCTTTATTTATAAATGCAAAACGACACTCACAGCGGAAGAGAGCGGTGCGCTTCCTGAGAGTCCGTCATTGATAGCTTTCATTATCGGATACGGACCCTTGCCACACGTTTCCCCTTTGAAGTCATCGAAATCCAAGCACCAGATGAAAGCACCTCCATAACCATTTTGCTTCAGCCAATCCATCTGCATTTAATCAAATCATAACGGTGTTTAACGCATCTAACTAGAGATGGAACAGAGAAAGAGCAGGCGCGAGTGCAGCAAAAGGTGAAGAAATTAGGAAGCAAATTTTTCTTTTTTTTTTGGAGACGCCTATTGTTAAAAAAACCGAATAAATGAAAATTTGAAAAATGAAAGTTTGTTATCAAGAATGCT